CATAGACACGGATTGGACATCACCTACAGGTCTGAAAAGAGAAAAAACAAGTGCCTTCAATCTGCATTTTTTTCAAATAGCTAACATGGCAACTCCCATGGTTGTATGAAGAAGTCCAGTTTATGGTCTCAATATCCAGTTTCAAGTCAAGAAGGCCAAACTTAAGACTTCAAAACAGTAGTATACAAACCTATAGGTGACATCATGTCGACTTCTTATATAAAGTATATAAGGGAGACACTTCACAGGTTAATATGTGAGCTCTGATATATTATAAGCTCCTTTGCCAGTTCACCTGGTGTAGAGTCAGATGTTTGTGTGGCAAATCTCTGCCTCCCGTACCAGATTCTCCTTTAAACACCGAACAGTCCCGCCTAATGGAAACCACATGGGGATCCCCCTTCCCCTCGCCGCCTTTCCAAATCTTTCCTCACGCCCATCCTGCTCAATCCCTTTGTCTTTTATCCATACTTTGAACTTGTTGATCTCATTCCCAGTGTTTTCAGACAGACCCGTAGCTGTGTTTTTATTGAGGTATCAATGGAAAGACTTATTGGCTTTTTCTGAAGTGTGTAACCGGTGCTCAGCTCCTCTGGACTTCCACTCTCTCCCTCTCTCATGGATGTTAGCTGTCATTACTTCTGACACAGTGCAGGTGACACTGATGCCTTAGCCAGTCCAAAGAGGCCTCTCTACAGGATCTCTCATCTTCATATGGCTAGTGATAGAGGGAAAGAAAAAACAAAAGTGAGGAGAAATCATTCACACACATTTACCAGCTGCAGCTACGAACTCTGGCCCCGCAAAACAGCTTTGAAAGCGTTTGAAGGAATCTTTTTTGTAGCCATTGGTTATCAACATGACGGTCACTTTGACTACTGTTGGCAGAATAACACATGTAGATCAGCTTTATGAGACGCCTTCGCCCACATACAAAGGCTGTGTATTTCTTGTACCGAGTGATTTTCCATAATGTTCAGATGCTTTTTCAGGATTTCTTTTGAAAAACACTCGGGCAGAATACTTCAGCACATCAGGCCCTAACAGTGAAAATATATCTGAGCCATTGTACCGGCTACAGTAGATCTGCAGACAGCTCAGAGTCTCTTTGTGAAATAAGATGACCTCACATCTTGCTGAGTGATCGTGTGCATCTGACAGCACCCGTAACCGCCTGTGCCGCAAATATGGAAGCATTCCTCACTCTCATGCATGGCTCTGTTTGAAGATTTCTTTGTTCCTCCCCCCCTCTCTTTACTCCTCTCTGTCTCTTTGTTCCTCTTAATAGTTGATCCTATTCTAATGCTTCTTGAATTTCAAACGCATATCTGTAAAGTGGCTTGATGTGTGCAGCATGTCCTGACATCTCCTCCCTCCTTTTCTCACTCTCCACCCTGATAATCCCACCATCCTGGCAGCCCGGCTGCTACCTGCTCAGTCACAGTTGGCACGGGTATAACTCACTTCTCACAAGCCCTCATTGTTCTCCTCGTATTCAAAGTCCCACCACCCCACCTCTATGCCCTCGGAGTACAGTATACACAAAAGCTAAAATCCCCTCCATCGCCTTGAAGAACAGAGGCGGGTATCAGATGATGAGTTTACATGAGCTAAGTCATCCTGAGTGGCGGCATGTCACCACTGGGACAGCACTTCTGCATTGTGGTTTCGGAAGCATTTACCCCTTGACAGCGTTCACGTAATTCAATATACTCGAGAAAATCAGCAGAAAGTGGGAGGAACATTTTTGAACAGATGATTATTGCCTTCAAGTGGAAGGAAAGTGCATCTGCATTGTGTGACTGGTGTACTGTAGTTCATTACTGCCATCTGCTGGTGTACTGACACCTTTTTTTTAAACTTTTTTACTAATAATATCAAGTTAAGATATTTACTTGTACCAGGTTAAAACGAAAAAACTTAATTTAACATTCAAAGTAAACATGATTTTATTGTGCCTGAATGTGAATAAGTGCATTCAAATGTTATATAAACTCTTCCGCCCCTGTTTTAAGGAGATAAATGTACCTCATTGATGGTCAATACCAACATGGAAGAAGTAAAAACAGGACATGGAGTCAGGATATGACCATCAAACCCTTTCATTCCCCGGAGATCCCCATCGTTGGTTGTAAACTAACTCTCCCATGAAGAATTAGGCTTCAAATCAAATCAAATCAAAGTTTATTTATAAAGCACATTTAAAAGGGATTTTTGGTCGGGCCAAAGTGCTGTACATGTAATAAATACTACAATCACTTAAAAACACATTACTACATTCATAATAAAAGACAATCAATTAGAACTGATATATAAAAAACACAGGGAAAAGTCAGGAGTCGTGCTCCGCTCTGACTAAAAGGCCAGGGAGAAGAAGTGTGTTTTAAGAGTAGATTTAAAAACCCCTAGGGTATGGGACGACCTCACATGGAGGGGCAGAGTGTTCCAGAGCCTGGGGCCAGCTGCTGCGAAGGCTCGGTGCCCTCGGGTTTTGAGCCTGGTCTTGGGCACTATCAGCAGCAGCTGGTCAGCAGACCTTAAAGCTCTGGCTGGGGTGTAGCGCTGGAGGAGTTCAGCTATATAGGCCGGAGCCAGCCCATTTAGTGCTTTAAAAACAAATAAAAGGATTTTTAAATCAATTTGGAACCGAATTGGAAGCCAGTGCAATGAGGCCAGAATTGGGGTGATGTGGTCACGCTTTTTGTGGCCAGTGAGTAGACGTGCAGCTGCGTTCTGCACTAGCTGCAGGCGTTTAATTGACGCCTGGTCCATACCCACATACAGAGCGTTGCAGTAGTCCAACCTCGAGGTAACAAAGGCGTTAATAACCCTTTCCAGGTCTTTAAAAGATAAAAACGACTTGGTCTTGGCCAATAGTCGTATTTTAAAAAAGCAGGTTTTGACTACGCTGCTGACCTGCTTATCGAATTTAAAAGCGCTAGGTCACTCCAAGGTTCGTGACAGAGGGGAGGATATTATTTTTGAGGGAGCCCAGAATATCAACCTGGAAGGCTGGAGGTTGGGGTCCAAAAAAGATAACCTCAGTCTTGCTCTCATTGAGGGTGAGGAAATGTTGGCTCAGCCAGGATTTGATCTCTGCTAAGCAGTTCATCAATAGCTGTAATGAGTTGTCATTTGAATTGAGTGGCAGATATATCTGTACATCGTCGGCGTAGCAGTGGAAGGGGATGTTGTGTTTTGTGAGAATTTAACCTAGGGGCAGTATGTACAGTAGAAAAAGGATGGGGCCCAGAATCGAGCCTTGGGAAACCCCACAGGTAAGAGGGGCTTTGGCAGAGGAGAAGGCACCTAGCTGCACTGAGAAGCTACGGTCTGTCAGGTAGTACCTGAACCATGCAAGGGCAGAGCCTGTGATGCCTGCGGACTGTTCAAGCCGTGACAACAGGATGCTATGGTCCACAGTGTCAAAGGCAGCTGTCAGGTCTAACAGCACCAGGACAGCTGGGCTGCCTGAGTCGGCGGCTAAGAGCAGATCATTAAAAAACTCTTAAAAGGGCTGTTTCAGTACTATGCATGGGTTTAAAGCCAGACTGAAACTTTTCTTGGATGCCATGCGTGGTTAAAAAAGACTGCAGCTGGGCGTAGACTACTCGCTCCAGGGCTTTAGATGAAAAAGGTAGCTGGGAGATGGGCCTGAAATTTGCGAGAATGGAAGGGTCGAGATTTTTCTTTTTAAGTAGTGGCTTGACCACGGCATGTTTGAAGGCAGCTGGGACACATCCTGAGCTAAGAGAGGTGTTTATAAGTAATAAAATACTTGCTCCAACTGATTCGAAAACATCTCTGAGAAAGCGAGAGGGAATGCTGTCTGAGGTGCAGTTTGTCGGCCGCAGGTGCATGACTACATCCGAGAGAGAAGAGAGGGATACAGGCTCAAAGTGGTCGAGGACAGCAGGGCACAGAAAGGGAGCAGAATCTGGGGTAGCCTTAGAGCAGATACTTTTTCAATAAAAAAATGTAAGACACTTATCACAGAGTAGTCGATGGCACAATTGGAGAAACATCACAGGGATAAATGATCGAGTTGAGGCTTAAAGGATTTTCAAGATCATGTTACAGAATAATGAGTATTCCTTTGTTTGTGTACAATTGTAACTCCTGTCCTTTTTGTGTTTGGTTTTGTATCTGTTTGTTTGTCCAGAGATCCTGAAGAAAGGTAGCTCAGTCCATCCGTCACTTCTGCAAAGGGAGGCGGAGGCGGTGAGAGACAAACAGCGGAGTCCTCTCTACTGCGACCAGCTGCTCCAGCACATCAGCTCTCTGCCAGCAGGGGCAGGAGCAGATTAATCCATTAATGTGCCTTACTTCAAAAAAATGTTCTCTCCTCACATTTTGAACCGTTTATGAACAGCCTATTACAACATGCTGGAAATAATATGATGGTGCATTTTCTCTTTAGGACTTGTTACCCTTAACATTACCTGATGTGTATTTGCCTTAAATGTATCATTCCTCATGGGGTGAGTAGGTGATCTCTGGTTTGTCTTTTAATTCAGAATGTCTCCTTCTCGATTGGTTAAAGAAGAGTTGTTTTGCTTTCATTTCTCTTATGTAGTCCTTGTTCCTATGAACAGTTTTAATGAAAACAACCCCAGTGTGTTTAAATGTGTTATTAATGTACTGATGAGTCTTCTTTGTGCCTTCCTGCACCCAAACTCTCAGCAAGTTGTGATTGTTGTCTTTAAAATAAATAAAAGAAATTATATTCTTAAATAGTATGTCAATATATTTTAAAACTATATAAAAATAATAATGGTTTTAGGTCCTGTAGACATTGTGAAAACCAGTATTTTTACATAAAGTCACTTCACCTTTATTGGTTGCATCACATGGCAATGGGCTAGTTCCATTTTTATTTGGAATGCTCTGACCTAAATATGTTTGTATCTATATTTTATTTTTCAAACTTCAGATAGACTTGCCACTACCTTTCCTCCTTCCTCCCATGTCCCATACATTCTCTGCACCATCAATATGTGTGTGTCTGTGCGCGTGCGTGTGTGTGCGTGCCTGTGTGATCTGCTTGCCTGCACCATGTGAGTGCTACCGGCAGAACAACGGCTTGAAACGACGGGTCTTCCAACGTACGGTTCGTGACATAATACCGTTTAAGATGCTGCAGATCGGGGATGAGGTGGTGTATTTCTCGGCGTTGTTTCTGCTCGTGGTGTTGGGCACGCGGAGCGCCACGGGGGCCTCTCTCCTCACCGCTTTCCTCTACGTCTTCATGGTGATGTTCCGGTTTCCTCCGGTGCCGGCGGACCAGGCCGGCCGTGTCCTCCGGCCCGGGGCTCCGTCAGGCGGGGTCTTGGTGGTGGCGCACCGCGGGGGCAGCCATGATGCTCCGGAGAACACCTTGGCAGCGATCAGAGAGGTGTCATGCATCTGTCATGTGTTTGGCTGGAAACATAGATCTATGCATGTTTAACAGCGCAAAAGTAGCATACTATAGGCTAGATAAATGATGGCTACAAATATGTAACACACAATTGCATAATAGCTAGTCCAATTAGATGTAGCAATATAGTATTACAAGAGCATAGGAGTCCCCAAAATAATATAGTCAATTCCATTTGAACGATTTATGTATGGGCTGCTCAGGCTTTGAATGTCGTGAGTTGCCTTGAAGCATTGTAAGCAGAGCACCACATCTGCTGCTGGTTCAGTTTCTATCAGATCACTAGATGCTCTTGAACATTTGTTAATGCCATTCACTCACACTTTTTTTATTTCTACACACAATTATTTCTCCCTGTTTGTTACATACTGAAGTTGCTGAGTCGGCTTGCTTGTTGTGCTTTACTGTCCTGCATGCACCGCAGTGAAGTTTGATATGTGATATTGTCTATGGCAGAGGATGGTTACATCATATCCGAGCCCTCACTCTTAATTACAGGGCATCACTTAGAGATACTCAGTAAATCACCTTTTGAATGACACAAAACCAATGTTATTTTCAATACCTGCTGACTCCTGAATATTAGTGACAGGCATGGCTAAATATATATAGCTTTCATGTCTTGTGACCAAACAAGACCAATTAAATGCATATTTATATTGCCACAATGGACAAGTAAGAGGCCTTTCTTTTGATATGATTTTAGTGTTTAGTTATATTTTTCTTTGAATACTGTATGTATTGTAGCCTACTGCTTTATCGAAGAGTCTCAAATCTTTACAAAAGCTACGATTCAGAGCATTGAGTTGGAGTCATGCGGTCACATAAGATGAAAGCTTTCAAAAATAATTAAGTCTTCAATGAAAAACTGCTAAATTTTCACAAAAATATTTATTTAAAAAATAAGCACTTAAACTACAATCATGTACAGTATCAAAGCTGTCTTTTTGTGTAATTTTCCACCTGTGATGTCCTGCTTTAGGCCAGTAGGAACGGGGCCACTGGCGTGGAGCTGGACCTGAGCTTCACGGCAGAGGGGGTGCCCGTCCTGATGCACGATGAGACAGTGGACCGCACCACCAACGGCTCTGGACCAGTTAGCAAACTGCAGCTGGCCCAGCTTAAGAGACTAGATGCTGCTGCTCGTCACAGGCTGAGGTATGCTGCATTATATCATTTGTTAATGGTGTGATTTAAATCTTAGATAAAGAAGGACTACATGTTAAACAGGGATTACATACTTTATGTATTCATACTATAAAGTTTGAGTTGCAGAAATATAGTTTGTATATGAGTGATCTATTGCCTCTCAGAAAGTGTCTTTCCTCATAAAATGTAAAGACTAAAAAAAGGGGCAAAATAAACAGACTTTAAACATGAAAGCGTAATACACTGGAACTTTCCCTCACTTTTGCATTAAGAACCTGTCTTGATTTCTTTCCTCTCCAGAGACAAATACAGTGGAGAGAAGGTCCCAACTCTGCAGGAGGCAGTGGAGGAATCCATCAGACAACAGCTCACCATCTTCTTCAATGTCAAAGGTCAACCTGATAAGGTAGTGAATATTATATAAGACTTGAGTATATGGATATATATATTTATACCATTAGAGCTTATAGACCTGTCCTATACTACTCGATAGCTGACTAAACCTAAATCAGCAAAGAGGGCCAATCAGATTGCTTTTAATTTACCTCCGTGCTGATCCTTTTTAGAGGCCCTCATTTCATAGTTATCTTTAACTGAACCAACTTATTATGAATATAGTTCTATTGATTGTTTTTTTCCTGCTTGTAGAAATGTGATATGTTTTCCTGTTTTCCAGGCTGCTTCAGTGCTTCATGAGATGTATAAGAGGTTTCCTGTCCTTTACAATAGCAGCATTGTTTCTTCCTTTGAACCAAAAGTAATCTACAAGGTAACACATATTTAACTAATCAACACAAATAATTAAAATTAACTTTAGAAAGCTGTTTTAATGATTATTGATTTGTCTGAGGTATTTGAATAATTATTTTGTCCTTTTTTCTCATTTTCTTTTACTGACTTTATTTCTTTACATTATTACTCCTATTTTATGTTCTATTAATGGCACTAAAGATGGCTTTCTGGTTTGTTGCTGCTTTCAACTGAACCATCACACATATTTTAATAAAAGTACCAAAAGAGCCACACCCTCCTCCTCATTTTGACTGTATTGTGTTGACTTTTACACTTTTTTTACCCATAGATGCGTCAGACGGACCCCAACGTGGTCACAGCTCTCATCCACCGCCCTTGGAGACTGAGCCGCTTTACCGACGGCGCCCCCCGGTCCCTGTCCATCTCGGGTCAGGTGTGGACGGGGGTTCTGGACATCTTGTTGGACTGGGCCCACCACCACATACTGTGGAAACTCTGCGGTGTCTCTGCCATCCTCATGCAGAAGGACTACATCTCACTGTAGGTCAAATGTTATTTCATTGTATAGTTACAAGGCACAGTCACAAAGCAAGTCATGGGGTTTAAGATAGTCTTACAGTATGTTAAGAAGAATCTTTTTTGTTTGCATATGATCTTAAAAGAGGCTAGTTGGGCCTCACTAAGCAATATGTTCCTGTCTATAAATGAACAGTGGTTGATTTTACATCGATGCTTTGTTAGAAAATCAGACATAATCAATGGCTGGGTGTCCGCCTAGGCATATAGGAAATTATAAATCAAAACAGCAAAAATATAAAACACTGCTAAAACTATAATAGCCACCACAGCAAGGGCTCCCAACATCAATCTGATGGGTCACAAGATGATTAAAGTCTTCTCTGCCAACAAAAGGTAATTGACATCTTGTAGCCTTTAGTCACTTGCAAATAATAAAATGGCAACATAAAAAGATTCAAATAGAGATTCAAGATTTTGCTGATGTGATAAGAGTTTGATTAAAAACTGGGTGTTGATATGATCAAGTTATCCCAAGTCATAAGAGGACACTGCCTTGTTTAAAGGATCACTTAAGTACATGCAACTTTGTTTTACTGGTTATGGAATGTTCCTTGTATTTACTGATCTTTATTTTTGTTTCCTCTTTCTTCTTTCTCTTAGGGACTACGTTCAGTACTGGGCAGAGCGAGGTGTGGAGGTGGTGGGCTGGACGGTCAACACCGCTGTGGAGAAAGACTTCTACCAAAACATGCTGAAGATTGGATACCTGACCGACAGTCTGCTGGAAGACTTTGATCCTCAATACTGATAAACACACACACACACACACACACACACACACACACACACACACACACACACACACACACACACACACACACACACACAGGGATGATTAAGTGTTTTCCACTTTCCACATCTTCTTAATGAACTAAGAAGTTGGAAATGCCGTAGTGACCCAAATAACTTCATGATTGCCATAAGAATTACATTTACTATTTCCTTCTCCTTTGTAAGAACAAAACATACTTAAATACTCTAAGTGAAGATAATTACAAGCTAGAAAATTGGTGCTACCTAACTTTATGGTGGCAATCAAACCACCCAAAAATAAGATTTACTGGTAAGAAAATGTTATTAACTGTAGCTGGTATACAGGTAGTTTCCCTTTTTAAATCTACAGACACATCAACACAATCAAACTCAGCTGTATACTACCTTGTATATATCCTACTACCAGCAGCAATACCACTAGCTCTCCTGGACCAGGGATTTGGATTAGACAACCTTAAAGATATTTTTTCCCTTCTGGGCTGATCTTTCAGAGGCTTTAAAGAGACCAGTGTACATAGTTGTAGACATATTGATAATGTATCATATCATTGCTTGCTATCATGATATGTATTTAATAATGAACTCTAGAATATATATTGTTAATATTAAGGAATGATGATACTTGATTATTTAGAAACTGAATCCTGATATGCTGTGAGTATAGGTGTCAAGGCAGAGATTATTTAACATGAACTCCAACATTATTTGTGTGATGTTACGTCTTTAAGACTCTCATTATGAATCATCAGAGAAGGAACACTTTTTGCTATTCATGGAGAAATGTTTACTATGAACAGCAGTTGTGCCAGAAACGGACCTAGGTGCAATACATATTTGAAGATTGGAGCCATGCAGTGTGCTTGTTATATATTTGTGTTTGACAATACATTTCTCAGAGGTTTAAAAAAAAAAAACGTTCCTCTGCCTTTTATTTCCTGCAGTGTAAAGAATGTCATATTGTAAAAAGAGCTTCATAGGCTTGAAACTTGAATAAAGCCTCACAATGTAAATCAATAATGCCTTATTAAATACTAAATGATTTAATGTTTTAAATGTGTCATTTTGTGAGACTTTTATGTAATTTCTGTTAATGGCCAGCTGTGCGTCTTTGTTAACCCATAGTTTAGCTTTCCATGAATTCAGTCAGTAAAGCTTGGTTGCATTGTAAACATGGTTGAGTGTGCTGTATGTGGTTGCACCTGACTTCACCTGTGTGTACTGTAAACACAGACGTTGGGCAGATGGGGGCTACATGAAGGAGCCGTTAAAGGGGGCTTTCTAAATCTGGTAGAGCTAGTGTCATGGCTGCCAGATTTGGCACCCCCTCTGTAACTTTGGCCAGGATGGTCATCATCATAGAAAGGACCCTGCCCTGGTGTTAGATTCCCCTATATTGTAGGCAAACAAAAGCTATTTACTCTGATCAGGTGAAATATGTAATAATCCCCCTCCACATTATACAAGACTACACAAAAAAACACAACATAAGAGTTAGTAAAGTAATATTTGAGAATGTAATTGCTTGCACAATTAAACAAAACAGCAGACACAACTGAATGTTAAAAAATAAGCAATTTGCGAATCAGAGATAACAACAATTCCAACATCATGAGATTAATACAAGTGATCTCATCTTAATAACCATTACCACAAGTTAAAATAAGTCACAAAGGGCTGAACATGCTGGTCTCAAGTCAGTGTTACATATTTCTTTCATCCATTTCGGGGACACTGTCTCTTTAAAACGCGGAGGGAGGCGTGTAAAGACCATGGTAAGGACGTAGAGCGAAGTGGTGCGCTCTGACGGCGTGTGTCAATGTCTTATGAATGACAACCGCCGTTTCAGGTTATGTGACATTGTGGCAGTGCAAGACACTTCAGCATTAAAGTGAGTTACGTTTTATTGTCCGGCCTGGGGGAACGCAGGTGTGAAGGGGAGGGTCGCTGGATGAAATGCACCCCGGCTGCTGGACATACTGGTAGAGGAGCGCGGCGCAAGGTTGTGTATTCTGCGTGGTTATTACAAAACCTCCTGCGAAGTCTCATGTCAGCTCCTGCCTGGATTTGTTGTCTTTAAATCTTGTGAGAGAAATTTACCCGGATCAGCTGAGCAGGGGAGCGACTTGACCCCCCAAAAATAGTTGTTATACATCGACAGATCCTGGTGGAAAGAAAATTGTCTTTCCTCGCCTGCTCCTCCTGGACTCTTTATCCAAAGTGCCAAACTCAAAGCGTACAGGCGACTTTTCCTGCGCAGGATGTACACAATTACAAGGGGTCCCAGCAAACTGGCCACCCAGCGACGGACAGGTAAGACACTGGACTGTAACTTGCACACATTTCCCTTGTATTCAAGTGTATTTCCATTTCAAATAAAATGTAAACTTTTATTTCCAGGGCCTACGCAGCCGGTTGACACCAAAATAAACGACTTCAAGCACAAACAAACGTCCTGGGGCATGCCTGAGTGAGTGTACATCTCCTGGTAATGAAAACGCACCATAATGCTGCTACTAGTGCTGTTTTTATAGGTCCCTTTTGAACATCTGATATATATGGTTTATTAAGCACTTTGAATAGCCTTGTGTTGAAAAGTGCTATATAAATAAACTTGCCTTGCCTTGCCTTAAGAAGATTCATTGTTTTGGTTAAAGTAGGCTACTATAATTGAATGACTGTGTCCTGGCACCAGTAAACGTCATCAACATGAGACAAGCAGCGTCTGATCTTCAGCCTGAATGATTTAACACACACCTTCACACTGTAGCTTCCCAAAGGCTCAGTCTGCATTCTGTTTTCGCCTTTTAAAACCACCCATTGTGTGTGTGTGTGTGTGTGTGGGGGGGGGGGGTGGTATGTGTGTGACCTTGTGGCAAGTCAAGGTGGCACATGGTCCTTGATTCAGCTGTTGCAATCTCTGACTCTCACTCAACCAACCATTTTTGATTTTAGGCCAAAAGGCTGACACTTTAGAAATGTTGTCTAGTGCTGATGCAGCATTTGCACACAAAAAGTATCAGACTACATTCTGACATATTGTCTTTCTTCTCCTACCTGACAGCCTTCCTGCCCCAAAGATAGTTTTCAACCGGCCAAATGGTAAGAAGTACCATCAGCCTGCTCTGGCTCTGCCTGCAGACAACCAGCAGGAAGAGAGATTCACACCCGCACACGAGGAAAACGTTACATTTGTCTACAATGGTAAGGAACTGCCTGTACTGGAAAAACAAGATGAGACAACACTTGTTATTGTCTTACTGTATCCAGACACCCATCCCTAGTTTTTTGAATGACATTGTTTTACTATCAAGTGTTTAAATTAAAAGCTAACCTCCCCCCCTCCCAGGCCTCACCCACACAGCTGCCCTGACACTGATAGCCATGATAGGCACCTAACAGAAAAATGCTCTCACACCCACATATGCTACTATATGACCCACGCTGGAGCATGTGCTGAAGAAACGGCATGTTTTGGCTCTAACTAGCACCCACCATACTCTCATGGGAAGAGTCTCGTTGTCTGCTTTCAGGAAAGGAAACAAAGGCATCAGACAGGATGAATGGTTTTATTTGGTTTGGGTGAAACTCTACACACTGACCCAGTTTCAAAGTGTGCACTTCTTTTTAACATTCATTCAGTGTCAGGGAGACTTCATGAGGCTCAGCACCTCTCACTTCATGTCCTGTTCGGAGCTAATGTTGAAGCTCAGCCTCAGCAGCTCATAAACAACGTCAGTAACCTTGTCTTCCAGCGGACAAGGACACAAAGGAGCCCCCCCTCCTGTTCAGGGTTGATTAATTATTTTCTTAAAGTACCTCTACATGATAAGCTTAACCATTTAAGTTTTCTGAAAGTCATGACCTAAAGGCAGCTAGCAGAGATATAATCAATAACCACACACACACACACACACACACACACACACACACACACACACGACCAGTCCACATGCTGCATTATTTGAAAAACAAGCGTGTGCCAGGAGTGACAGGTTTATGAACCAGTTGCCCTTGTGGACTTTACTTGTTTGACGCTGTGGGTGTGACCCTGGGTTGTTTTAGATTTGAACTTTAACCACTTACATTCTTTATACCATATAACTTTGAATGAATTATGTTAAATCCTGGCTGCTGCACAGGCTCTGTAGTTTTCATACAGTTAACACTACAGATAGTTTTTATTTTTGCTTTGATAATAATAAGATATCTTTTAATCTGCTTTACCAAATGATAACATGGTTAATGGTCTACAAAACATGCATGTTACCTCAACATATTGCATTAGTTGTACATTTTGCATTGAATCAGTTACAATAATGACTGCTTTTTTATTTATTGCATACCTAATGGTTTTATCCAATAATCACATTTATTCTAGGGAAAAAATTACATTCATACCAGTGTAATAATTACAATAATCTGAATGCAATGCTTATCTTTATTCTAGTGGAACAAAGACTCTTATAACAGTGAACATTACATGTATTTGTTTTGTACTTACTATAGTAGAGCTCCAGTTGTTTGGTTTTTGTGATTTTCCTGTGACTTTTAATTGCAGGAGTAGCGCTCCATCTTTTAATTCTGTGCAATGATAATAAAGGTTTTAATTTTAATTGTATTCCATATCTTTTATTTGTTATTGTACTGACTGAGTGGTTGTGTTTTCAGCCTGGCAGGAGGTGGTGCAGCAGGATCCAGAGGAGGCCCAGGCAGCAGTCGACTATAAAGAGACCAGTCCCAGTCCACACCTGAAAAGTGAGTACAGCTGCTCCTCTTCCTCACTGTCATCCAAACTATGCCATCCTCTCCTGCTCATGCCTTCAGGGAATTCATTTACATTTGACTGGTTAAAGCTGAATTAAGCACGATTTTCATGAACAAATATGTTCATGTATAAGCATCAATGTTTACGGGATGTGTAGCCAGTGGCGGTTCTAGACCAATTTGACTGGGGGGGCCAGGCTGAGGCCAGTTATTTTCTGAGGGGGGCACAATAAATGCGGGACGAAAAAGACAAAGACAGTAGTAATTGTGCATAAGAAAACAATGCAATACAGTTATTGGTATTTGTTTCACGACACATATTTATTTCAGATACTTATAGTTACAGTTTTTACACTCTAATGCAGGGGTCTCCAACCTTTTTTAGGATGAGACCTACTTTTACTTCTCTTTTTTTGTTTTTTGCAGTGTATATATTTAGCACATTTTAACATTATACTTTGTGTGCTGTTTGGGTCATGCGGGACCCCTTTCAGTGTTTACTAAAAGAAAATGTATGCAATTTAATTATTTTAACCTGCTTTATTTTGGGGTGGACCTCACATCCTCTAGGGGGGGTTCGGGGGCATGCAATGAATTTAACTTCTGTTAGACAGCCATATGCCATACATTTTTGCATACATTCACAGTAAATATTTATTCAGTTTGATAGCTGTCTAACAGAAGTTAAATTATTTTCTCACTTATTCTGACAATGTACTTAACCCCAAATAAAAGAACCCAATAAAAAGAGTTGTTAAATAATAGTGAAGTCACGTTGTAATAACAATAACTCATCTCTCTCGAGTTTTATTTTTGAGCTTAGCTAAAGCCACTGTGTCAAGTGTCCTACTTGGGTTGGGTCCGGAGTTGTCCAATATGGCGGACCATCTCACACATGCTCAGTACAGATCGGGCAGGGGGGACAGATCGGGTAGTGACATACACATGTGCAGCCTGGAATTTCTCGCTACGAAGGACGCCAGCCTCGGTAGAATTCCAAGGAGCCTGGACATTGGAACAGTCCTTCGGCGGGACTCGATGACGTAGCATCCTTGAAATAGTGGCTCTGGAGCAGCCTTCCTCGACATTGAGAAACACCCTGTGATCTATCACCAAGATGTATTTGACTAAAACTGTTATAATGGGTGTTTTAAGCTAATGAGTTTTAGAAACGTAATATAAAATAGACTAAGATAATTTTTTTTATTTATAACCAGTTTGTTAGTCATGCATTTAACATAGTGATGCAGATATCACTTTAACCACTGGAGGGCGCAACTCTAACTAGCGTCAAGTCAGAAGAAAGATTACAACGGCATTTCAAAAAGAACTGTCAAATAAACTCATGTCATGTCTCCTATTTCTACACTATAATGACTCCTGATTAAGCTTTGTAAATGTGGAAGTTATTTGTGCTAGGATAATAGAATAAGTATAGAAAATAAGATATATGAGCAGAAGTATAATATTAATTTGTACTCGACTGATTTAAATGTGTAATTGAGATGACAACAATCCGTCTAGTGATGTTTTAGGGTGTAATTACCTTTTTTATAACAGACTTTTTTAACCAGTTTTATGTTTTTGTTCTCCAGATTTCATGCCTTTAGATCTGGATGAATGGTGGGCCCAGCGTTTCCTCGCTAATATAGACAAGCTCTCATGACACTCTTCTGGGATTTGTTGATCTTGACGGACGGTCAGGAGTCAGGAGGTGAGACCTGAAGCAGGACGACTCACAGAGAGGACGCCTGGGCAGATGGGATGGGTCAAAATGCCCTGAAGTGGTTTAAATGGATTGAAAGCGCTGGGACGCTTGCAAAGACACCACAGAGAATCCCTTCTCTTGAACTCTTGCCTCTACAATCCATCTGTCTCCAAATGTATAGTCTGCGACAGACTGAACACTGGAGGAGGACATCTTGAAGTTGAGGTTCCTCTCATCTTTCATATGTCATGTTACTTTGAAATGCAGTAAAGTTGTATTTTCAAGTAGTCCTGTATTTGGAATCTTTGAATGCATTTGTCACATTGGTTACGAACACAGGAAAGTGTCAACAGCTCCATAAATGCTCAGGGTAAATCTTTTTTTATTAGATTTAATGATTGACCTGTTGAGAATCAATGTTTGACCACTGACAAGTCACATCTGCAGCTCACACACCATCTACAAACACTCTAGTTTGACCCAGTTCAAACATATTTAATTACATTAAATATTGCCACATTCCATAAACCACAAAGCGAACATAACATTAACAAAAAAAGGATTTGCATTTGTAATGAAGCCCTGAATAGACTCCTACCACTTCAAAGCTTTAATGCACACTTCACACATGGTATTTCACAAGGATTTTGAAATGAGAATCTAGAGATTAGAGTTGCCTCCATACTCCTGATGAAACAGTGCTGCACACAGGGATTTACAGAGAAGCTTCCTTCAGTTCATCTTCACAACAGCTGCTCTTTAAAGCCTTTGTGTGCTCTCCATAAGGGTTCAATGAAGTAGTCTAGAGGGAAAGAGATGTGGTTTTAAGGCTCCAGACGAACACAGTCCTGTTGGTTCTCTTCTGCAGTCATCCAGCTTTGTACGCCCTTCAGAGGCTTAACACCCAGTCAGTCTGCACTGTAGTGTCTGTCTCTCAGTGCTTCTCCAGAGCTTTAGTCAGCAGGTCGTTAAGGCGGGAAATCATCGGTCGGGGGTCGTCGTTCAGGCCGGCTGTGATCATGGCATTGTCATAGATCTGCAGAATGTAGATAAAGAGATGTAAAACTGCACTGATAAGACTTCAAAGTGTTGCATTCTGCTATAGGGTGTAATTGTGAAAAATGTTTCCTAGTATAAATCATATTTTCCGAAAATGGTTTCATCTGAAAACAACCATGTGGGCATAAATACCACAAAATACAAGCTAGTCACAAAATAAAAAAATAATAGTGAGGGTAGCTGCAAACACCTGTATTCCAACACCTCACACAGTACATTCAGCATAATGTGCATTTCCATCAACACAGTCATATTAAACTCACTATGTTGCTGCTTTTTACCAGAAAACTCATTCATGGTTTATTCCAATCACTTCTACTGGTTTGTTCTAGTAAAAGCACTATGGGTAATCTTTTTGCCACTCAATCAACATTACAAAAACAAGAGTTTTGCGAGGCAGCTTGGGATCATGGCGGGTTCACCAGCATTGCTGCCAGCTTGTGGTTTCATGTTATACCTTTTAAGCTATTGTCATTAACTAAACATTTCCTGCAGATGTTTTTAAAGTCAGGCTTCAAATGTGCCTCATCTGTGCAGGAAGAGTTTATTGATAGTATGTCCTTTAGAACAGGGGTTCCCAACCACCCGGAGGTGTTACTGCCGGGCCGCGAAATAGCTGTGAGTTTATCGTAATATTTGCAGAATTATAAATATATAAATATATTTTATCATAATATATTTTTCAAAAAGTGTTTAATGTTCGCACTATACCGGTCATATTATTTCATCCAGTAGCCTAGTTAATCTTTCACCAGAAAACCGTTGAAAATGGCTTTTATGATGTTCCGAGGGATTCGGCGGCTCAGCCTGGTCTCAGCCTCTCGTGCGCACGAGAAAGTTACCGGTGCGCCAAGGAGGAAGAGGAGCGCACAGGAGACAACCGTTTCATTGCAGACTGTTATGTTTATGTGGGGAAATGGCAGTGCATACATTATTTGAGATATATTTCAAACTCGGACTTCATTTTAAGGACATGTCGGCCAGGGGTGTAGAGCTATATGTTTATTTTATTAGCTTTTCTTTTTAATGACTCATTTTAAATGCCATTTTCTTAATGTCTTTCATTTTTTTGTAAAGCACTTTGAATTGCCTTGTGTTGAAAAGTGCTATATAAATAAACTTGCCTTGCCTTTGTTTAAGCATTGGCAAAACAGGAGAGTAAACCAGTCTGCCTTGATCTAGGAATTCATGTCCGGGACTCTCACGGTATCTGCTGCCCGCAGCTGTTTTATAGAAGGAAAACCTCCTTCACTTCATGAAATGGCTGCAGCATCAGGAGGCAGCGGGACGTGTAACTCCGCCTCTGAGAAGTGCAGCACCAGCGCGCCGAGAGCTGTGCCTTTTTACGCACCGCCTTCGCTGTGTTTACCTTCATCAGAACAGCGAGTGACTGCAGGCTGCTACGTGTTAACCACACACACATCGAACTGCCCGATTACTCCCCCTTTTATTAGTTTTATGAAGGAGATGTCCAGTCACCAAGGCGCATGATGTGCGCCTTGGTGACTGGACATTTGTTCAGGATGTTACATACAATTAGCCTCTGTTGCTACCTGCTGGTGGTGAGTAAATATTAAAATCAGTTAAAATCAGTTAAAATTGACAACCGGTCCACGATTTTCTTTTTATGTATCTGCCGGTCCTTGGCAAAATAAAGGTTGGGAACCCCTGCTTTAGAAGACAAACTGTAAGACACAATTTGTGCTGTGGAATCGTATAATATCCTGTACTCTACATAAAACCATAATAACACACAGGACGTTTTGAGTTTCCATAAACAGCAAACTATATATATATTAAGACATGTTTCCCACATGCATCTTTAAGCCACAGTACCTGTTCCAGGAGCAGTCCAGCCAGCTCAGAGTTGCTCTCCTTCAGTGCCTGCAGCTTCTTGATCAAATCATGTCTGTCAGAGGGTAAGAAGAACAAGATAGTGAGAGCTGGACCAAAACACACCATTTATTCCATTCAGTCAAATCCATGCCACCATTACTTCCCCTCCCTCTCTCCCCCTCTCTCCCCCTCTCACCCTGCATTGATCTCCAGTGTGGGCTGCAGAATCTGCGCTCTCTCCTCAGGGGTGCGAGCCAGCTGCTGGGTGCGGAGGAAGTGGCGAGCAGCCCCCATCTCCAGCACCGTGATCATCGCTGGGTGGGTGTCCAGCCGGGGGGTCAGCTACGGGCCGAAGAGAAAATGTATCATGCAATGTGACATTATCTGACTTGAGAAAACAACGGCCCAATGATTTGAATTCAACACATTTGAGGCCTGGGCCGACTCTAGTCTTATCTTCACCTTTATGTTGGTGACTCGGGGGCCCAAAGCGTTCTTCATCCAGGAGATGAGGTCTTCGGACTGATCCTGGGTCAGGCGCTCAGAGGCTGTAGGAGAGAGAACAAACAGGAGTCAGGACTGCAGCCGTGAGAGAGACAGCTGTTCTGGAGACACGAGAGGGGGGCAGACCTGGCTTCACGTCTTCAAACTTCTCCTCTTTGTAGTGATCCACCACGATGTCCGTCTCCACGGAGATCACCTTCTTCTTGTCGAAATCCCGCAGGTGGAGCAGGGTCAGCTCGTCAAACTGCTCGTAGCAGAACAGCACCTGAACACACCACAGAGGCGTGAAGCAGCGGTTTACATTCATAATGACAAGGTTATGATTAGTTTTATAGTGGCAGGCTCAAATGTTGTCTTTTTCTTCCCGCCTGACGACAACAGACTCTTGTATAATTAGCTGAAGTGTCATAGATGAACATATCTGGGCAGTAATATAGCAAATACAAAACAAGTTTTCAGTTTAGGCCTAACAGTTGATAAAATGTCCACTGCAAGCAAAGCTATTTAGAGTTTTTATAAGATGTTAAATAAATGATATCTTTAAATCTATCATTGTTTTTGATTTGATTCATAACCAAGTAAACCAAATGAAGTGGGAAAGCAACATACAAACTAAGTTAAGTGAGTATTAACAGCTCAATAATTGTGTGGATACTGTGATAATGTGAACACAGAACACATGCCATTGCTTCCGCCCTCTCACCTCCATGTCTTTCTGTTTCATGGCCTCGTAGTACGGGGAGTGCTCTGCCAGATGGCGGTTGGGCGCACACAGGTAGTAGATGTTGCGGTCGCCGGCCTTCATGCGGGAGGAGTACTCCATCAGGTTGGTCTGCTCGCCGGCAGGCAGAGCAGAGGACTCGTATCTCAACAGCTTCGCAATGTCCTCCTGTAGAGAGACAGCAGGGGGCGCCAACACTGCTATCAAGTTCCAGACTACACATTTATCAAGCTTTAGCCACATCTGTAGGAAGCTGTGTGCATCTCTACCTTGACGTCTTGTTCCTGCGTGGTGACGATGCCCTCCCTCATGAAGAGGCCGTACTCCTCAAAGAACTTCTTGTATTTCTCCGGCTCCTTCTTGCTCTGGTCTAGCAGGAAGCGGATCACACGCTGCTGCAGAACGTCACGCAGCTTCCTGGAGACAGAGGGGAGGGAGAAAAATAAATCAGGGGATCAATATTGGAAAACAAGGCAGGAACTGAGAATTGCATCGTTAGTGAATATTCCCAAAAATGATAGAGATATAGATTTTGAGGATATGATGATGTGATTACACCAGTTGTGTTTGTATGCTTGTTTGTTGCCAGTAGAAGACTTACGATTCACACAATGTGTTGAGAGTCCATTTTATTTATTGTTTTTGTTGTGTGGTTTCATTTGACTATTTTGGATATTTCATGATGTTATATACAATAGTACCATTCCTATTTAACTCTTTGAAAGTGTGTACTTGCACATGTATGCTCTTATAGACTCTATGCATTACATTCATGCACACAATGTACAACCATATCTGTTTTTTTATTACTGCCGATTTTTATTCCGTATTTCATTCCTTTTTATTCCATTCCATTTATATGTAAATACTGTTATATTTTACTATATCTCTTATATTTTTCTAGTTCTCTATCTGTGTTTTTAATTTTTGTTTTACTTTTTGTATGCACCACGACACCAAGTCAAATTCCTCGTACGCGTCAACCGACCTGGTAATAAACCTGATTCAGATTCTTATATTATCATTATCAGTGGCATAAAGTGGTCTATAAACGAAAATAACATTGCACACATATCATAACTGTTCCTGGGACAACATATTGTCAAACAAAAGTAGTTATTGCCACAGGCTTGACTATGCCTTGAACACAGGCATTAAAACTAGTGTAAAACTGCTGTTTTACCTGATGAGGGCGCTCTCCTGCAGCAGCTCTCTGCTCAGATTCAGAGGGATGTCCTCACTGTCCACCACACCTGCACACACACAGTCAAACTCAGCGCTGGGACATCAAAAAACGTTTATTTCGCCTAAAATCGACATTAAATAATACAGTAGAGTATAATAAACGATGCAGACCTCGGAGGAAGCGCAGCCACTTGGGCAGGATGTCGGTTGCTTTGGTCTGGATCAGAACCTTCCGGCTGAACAGAGCCACGCTGGAGCCCATCTCCCTGCTCACATCAAACATGCTTGGCTTCTGTTGGGGCAGAAATAACGATTGATGAAATAAGTTCATTTGTACTTAATAACACCTATGAAACTAAATGTCTACATGTCAAGAGTTACATGACAGGTTGGCATTATTTCAGGGGTTGCTGTGACACATGATGGGGCCCGGAAAACAGTTCAAATTCACTTTGAAGTGTCAGCTCACCGCGTCAGGAACATAGAAGATGCTCCGGATGTTGACGGGTGCGTCGGCGCGGTAATGCAGCGTGTAGCGGGGCTTATCGTAGGCCTGGGCCACATAACGGTAAAACTCCTCGTGCTGCCAGTCACTGATCTCTTTAGGCTCCATCATCCACAAGGCCTGAGGGGAATCAGAGCACAAAACCAACATATTTCACATACATGTATAACATTTTACTACAGTGCTTTCTAACTTTAGAAGTACCCCTCAGCCCAGACTGCAAAATGAACAGTTAACAAACCATATTTAACATTCACAATAGCGGCATTGTGGTCAAGTCATCAAAATAATTCTACTAAATAAGAACGTCCACCTAGGTATGAATATATTGTAAATACTGAGACTATTTCATTTGAAACTGTGCCAGTGTGTGCAGAAAGGAACTCAAATAAAGCCTAATATAAGTCTGCAGAGGCAACACAGACAATTTGTTTATAAATGAAAGAAGTTGTAACTGCTTCAAAAGCCCACCTGACCCAGATCTAATGTTTACACAGTGAAGGGTTTGCTCAAAAACAGCTTCACTGGTCGAGCTCAACCGTATTTACACGATGACCTTTTTGAATTGTTCCCTGAGTAAGGTCACATTGAGCAGCAGAGTCACGGGCTCACCTGCAGAGTGTTGAGCCTCCGCCCGTTCAGGAAGATGGGGAAGCTGACAAAGTTGCTGTACTTTGTCACAACCTCTGAAAGAGAAACAACAGCTAGTTAGCTCATGGAGCGACGCTACACGCATGTGTTTTATCACCGCAGTAACAGCAGTTATACCTTTGACTCTGTCCTCAGCGGAAAACTCTTTGCAGTCGTCTTTGAAGCGCAGCACGATCTTTGTTCCCCGTTGAACACCGGTGGCTTCAGCGATCTCAAAAACTCCAGAGCTGATGAAGACAAGGTTTGCAGATAGCTAGTTTTAGTTTAGATTCACTTCTACTCTATGTTTTTGGGCCAGTGATACATTCTTTGTTCTGCTGCAGAAAACAATAACACTGAAGAACACTTTCATTCCCACTCTTGATATAAAATGTTGTCCTCCCCATCCCTCGCCCCCCTCTCACCCGTCAGAGGACCACTTGTATCCGGGTGCGTCGGGCTCAGCTGATCGCGAGTAGACCTCCACCGAGTCAGCCACCATGAAGGCGGAGTAGAAGCCCACCCCGAACTGACCAATGATGGTGCTGCTGGCCTCCGCCTGGTTGGTCAGGGCATCCAAAAAGGCCTGCAGGGAAGGAATGATTATTATGGCTTCATCATAACAAAAGTGTGACATTCATAAACTAATGCATTCATTGGGTCGTTCATTGTATATAAACACACTGACCTTTGACCCAGAGCGGGCGATGGTCCCCAGGTTGGCCACCAGCTCCTCTTGGTTCATCCCCACTCCTGTGTCCTGCACAGCACAGAGAGCCCCAGTCACTTACAGTCTCCGTAGCTAACTGTACAATACTCATCCACCAGGGGGCGATACATCTCAAAAACAACCCAGGAACCAGAGGCCGTTTCTCAATGTGGAGGAGGCTTGTGGTAGCACAAGTATGCTGAGCATTTAAACAGTGATTCGGCGCCACTCGATGACGTAGTATGCTTGAAATAGTGGCTCTGGAGCAGCTTTACTCGACATTGAGAAACGGCCACAGTCTACCTGAGCCTTTCTTCACTGCAGGAACATGTTTCACACTTAAGTATCCACTGAAATTTGTAAACATTTGGATGAACCACATTTTAAAGAGGACAGAATTGAGTAATTGTTATATTCTGTGTGTAGGGGAGGGAGTTGCTGAGGGACAATAATTGATCGACTGAATCGATGCTGATTGCGGTGCTAAGATGACGAAAAACAAGCGAGACAATTACACTACAAGCCTCCAAAATGGCGTCCCTGACGTTGTATCATAAAGCTTCGTTCATGAAAAGAAATAACATGATATTGAGATCTTTCTACCACATTGACTGGGATGGAACCAGGAGACTGCTAGGACCGGTTGAAACCACTCGGTAGCCCAAACTGTCTTCAAGAAGATCGGACCACTTTTCATTCAGTGCCACTCCCTCTACTGCACGCATTGTTTTTCATTTATCTACACTCTTCTTTCTCAATTTCAGCCAGACATCTTCTGGGCCACCCTTTGGCTTCTAGCTTCTACCTCTCGCTCCCTCTGTACGGTGTCCTCTCATCTATACTGATTAGGGATTATTTTTTTTTAACTATTATTCTCTATTCTCCTTTTTTGCATAGTAGTTGGTGAAAACAGACAATAGTAAAATCTTGATTGCTATTATTGCATTTGTTAAAGGCGTGCGTATTATGTATAATAACTCATCTTCTGAACCAATCACATAAAACTTTGAAAATGACTTGCATTAAGTATCAACCACAATTGATGCAGACCTATCTAACACAGCGATGGTTATACCTGAATGGTTAAGGTGCCCTTGGCACTGTCAGTCTGCAGGTGGATCTCCATCTGAGCCGTTTCTCCGCCTGCCGTCATCAGTTTGTGGCGCAGCTTCTCCAGAGCGTCACTGCCGTTGGAGATCAGCTCCCTGATGAACACCTGGTGGGTCGGAAGGAGGAGAACAGTTATAGGTTATATCTGAAAGGTCAATCAAGCTAAATAGTATGCTATTCCTCACTCTGACAGACTCTATGCATTATATTAATGCATACAATATCTTGTTTTTTTTTTACAATGTAAATACTGCTATATGTATGTTATTATAGTTTTCTTAAAATAGTTTTCTATCTGTGTTTTACTTTATGTATGCACCAAGACACCAAGTCAAATTCCTTGTGTCAACCTACCTGGTAATAAAGGTCACACACACACACACACACACATCACACACACACACACACACACCACACACACACACACACACACCACACACACACACACACACACACACACACACACACACACACACACACACACACACACACACACACACACACACACACCACACACACACACACACACACACACACACACACACACACACACACACACACACACACACACACACACACACACACACACACACACACACACACACACACACACACAAAAAACTAACCTCCTTCTCGGAGTACAAGGACCTGGCGACTATGTCCAGCAGTTTTTTCGTCTCAGCCTGAAATTCATGTTTGGAAAAGTCACCTGCATGAATCATGGGGTAGAAAAAAAAACATTCAGATTATCTTAAATCTAACAAATCAGAAGCTTGTCATTGTCTTTGAGGGAGTTGCATGTCTGCAGCTGTTCCGGCACCTTGAACAGCCTCAGTGTCGCTGATGATGGTGTGCAGAGGCTCCTCTTCAGGCTCCTTCTCCAGCTCCTTCTCCAGCCCCTTCTCCAGGTCCTTCTCCAGCTCTTTCTCAGGCTGCTTCTCAGGCTGCTTCTCCGCCTCCTGGGTGCTGTAGTAGGACTGCTGGCTGAAGCCCAGGCCGGGCCGCTGGGAGCTCCACAAGGGGGGCCGACTGCTCCACCCCCACTGCTGTCCAGCCTGCAGGTCTGATGGCAAGAGGGGAGTCAGCTGACACTTACATTTTTATCTTTTTGGATGCCTTAAATCAGGGGTGTCCAAACCTTTTTCACAGAGGGCCACATACAGAAAAATATACGAAGAGCTGGGCCGCTTATAGGAGGTATATTGCCTCGTAAGTTAAGTTATAAGTTAGCAAAATGTAGGTAAATTAGGCTTGATACATGAATATGCTTTAAGAAAAAAACAGCCTCCATCACAGCTCTCTATAGGGTTTCATTTATCTCGTTGGCAACTCATCCCTTAAAACAGAAGCCTCAGAGTGAGTATAAGATGAAATATGAAGAGTCTATTTAAAGCTTGTTATGTAAATAAGTCATTGGGCTTTTGGGAAAATGTTTTCAACATGAATTGACTGAATTTATTTTAAAAGTGGGCTTATTAACACATGAATACTACTGTGTAATATATTTTCACATATATATTTAAGAGGTACAATATAAGACAAGCACAAGTTTCATTTGTGGGCCATATTTCATTATACTTTTTGAATTTGCTGAGGGCCGATTCAAAATGGCCAGCGGTCCGCATTTGGCCCCCGGGCCGTAATTGTGATACCCCTGCCTTAAATGTATTTAGAAAACACTACCTACACTAGAGAACAATCTTAAGACCCAGTAAAAAAGCGTGAAGAATAGATACGATACTACTCTCTCTTTCTTACAGCAAAGTATATGAGAAACCTTTTAGGATAGCGGTTTAGTGATGCCAGCTGTTTCAGTGACTGAGAGACTCTGGAGTCATGTTTGCAAAGGATCTTTTCACATCAAGGAAATACATTTGAGTACAGAAACCAATTACTCCAACCAGTTATCATCTTTCTTATTACAAAGGTTTCGGAAACCTTTCGCTTTACCTTCTTAACTAGGAGTTTTCCTGTAACCTTGCCAAGTATATTAAGATGTGTATTTGATGTTGCGTCTAGATAGAAAGTGTTGGATATTGATGCCGGCATGCCGCCTGTCTTAATTGTTATGACAACCAGTCAAAATCCCTTAACACCAATCTGTTGCAGGTGCAGAGATGTGATGATGTAATAACTTAGTTCTATAAGCAACCCCTTGGATTTAATTCATATTGTAGTTTTGTACCTCCTAAGTGAGCTATCTACACAAGTAGCTCGTGGACTTGGACTGCAAGTAAATAAGGCATCATCCGACGCAGAGTTCACATCACTTTATACATCCATGCAGCTGTCATCAACTAGCATGGGAGCTAACTCGGCTCATAAACACAGCTTACCTCCAGTGAACGAGCGCGAGGTAACTCCGCTGCTGAGTCCTCGCACACATGACGTCAGCCGTGAGTTGGTCCTCGAGGAACCGAGGGCGAACCGGGCCAGCGCGAGGCAGCGGGACATGTTGACAGACAAGGGACAAGAAGACAAGTCGACTGACCGACTGACCGAGGGACACACGCCGGACGATGTTAGCGAAAAAGGACCCGCGACGGCGCCATGTAATGACGTCATTAGGGTGTCTATCACACTGCCTGATGTAAAGTTAAACATTTTACACAGACTAAAATGTAATTTAAAAAGATATATAGGTGTACATTAAAATGTAGTTTATATGCATTGGAAAAAAACATACTAGCACTTAATATGTATCAATGTAGTACCCTCCTTTATTATGTCATTGATACATTTCAGTTAATTTGACCTTCAAGGTCAAACAGTTGTCATCTGATAAAATCTGAGGAAAAAATGTATAATTATGTTTCAAGTTAATGCTGATTGGACCTGAAACGATTATTTAATAAATTGGGAACTCTGGCTTATTTTTCTGCCTTTTTTATATTTCGTTATTATTTGGGAATCGTTTTTTCAAAGCAGTCAATATTAAATGAGTTTTTCCTTGGCTTACATTAAAGCACATAGAGTTGCTTGGCGTTGTTAACTGTAAGGTGAAGCAAATCATCTTGGTGATTTGGGGTGTTCTACTTTTTTGAGTGTTTCACATACTAAATGATTGATCAATCATTTGGATGTATGTTAATAAAAATATGAAATAATTCCGATCCTAATGCTGAACACAACATCACTCTTTCCAAACAGAAATATTCAAAGCAGAGTCTGTGGCACACAGGTTTATTTAACAATATGGTATATAAGTACGAAATGAGCCATTTGAACCAGTTTGTACAGTGATTTCTTTCTTATTTTCTGCATATTTACAGTACTGTCTAGTCGCATGATTTACATTAGAGAACAGTTCATCATCAATTCAAGTTTAATGCAAGAGAGAAAATGATGCACAAAACCCTCTGAACACAAATCAGCAGTCAAACAAGTTAATTTCCCACCACAGGCAAAAGAGACTCGAATGAGAATTTCCTTTGACTCAGCGAGAGACAAAGCATTTTTTAAACATTTGCAAGACAGATACTGGGCCCAGGCCAGTAAAAAGAACATTCCGGCACCTGTGAACATTAACAAGCTTCATTGCAGATTTGTCTTACACTTGCTTTGTGTTTGGGTGTGTGCAATAGTTCTTAGATCTATACAATTACATTTATTTCATAGACTCTGCAAACCGGAAAGAAATTAAGGCTTTCCCAAAGGCAGTCCTTTTTGAAAAATGGCATTTTAGAATAAATTAGCCAGGAAGGAACAGAGGAACTGAGCAAGAAGTGAAACCTGGCAAAAAATTCCCAGACAAATAATTGTACAGTCTTCTCAACACAAATGCGATATTAATTTGCAAAGGTACAAAATAAAAAAAATTGAATAATAAAATGAAATATTTTTTGTTTTGAGAAGTTTTGTTAAAAAAAAGTCAATACCAGAGCATAAAAAATGAAAAACAAATGAAAACAACACAAAGACCATCGCAAATTATTGCATGGCTGGTCTGAACCAAAAATATATTCTTTGTCGTCTTCTTTTAAATCACTCTCTGGGTTGGAAGAAAAAGCAGTCCCTTGGTTTAAGGAAAGTTCACAGTCTGTAGGCCTCGTATGACTCATGTTTGTATTTCTTTTAGCTTTTTACATCAGCAAGTACAAAAATGTCTCCGCTGAAAACAGAACAAGGCCTTTCTTCTGTCCAAAAATGCTACAATCCTTCAACAAATTTTTCCAGCGTGTCGCCTGTCGGGTCACCAACCATACCCATGTCATTACTCAACCCTCCTCTGTTTGGCGTATTAAGTTGTGGGAGCATGGCACTCTGCTCCGGTGTACCCATGTGTCCCTGGTCCATGGACCCCGACATCGGGCCTCCAAGGCTGGGGTGGGGAGAGCTGGAGTGTAGGGCGCCGTGCTGAGGTGAGGGCTGGGGCTGTATCCGCGGGGAGGGACTGGAATGCGGGGGCTGCTGCGAAGGCGGACGGGGTGATTGCACTGGGGCTGGGGAACGAACTTGGTTCCCCAGGGTGTTTGCCATTGTCTGTCCAGGTAAGTGAGCTCCTCCCTGGGCCTGGCCTTGGAGCATGTGAGATTGTGGACTCATGGAGTTTGCCTGTGTTGGAGAGCCCATCTGCTGCTTTAGCATCTGCTGCTGCTGCTGCTGAAGCAGGCGCTGCTGGAGGATGTTCTGAGGAACCTCCATGCCCATGCCGGGCTGACCCATTTGAGACGTGGGGGGGAGCTGTCCCATGGGCCCCGCACCTCCTTGCATAGCCATTTGCTGCTGCATACGGAGTTGGGAGTAGGTTGCTGGCCCCGGCTGCTGCTGGGGGAACTGACTGTGGCCCTGAGGCATGCCTCCCTGCTGCGCCTGCTGCTGCTGCTGCTGCTGCATCTGCTGCAACCGGAGCAGCTGCTGTCTGCGGTACATTTGGGGATTGCCGTTTTGGGCAGCATTCATCATCTGGCCTTGGGGGCCCATGGTTGCCATACCCTGGGGCCCTGCCTGCGGAGGAGGCTGCTGCTGAGGTGCCATCACTGGCCTCTGCACCTGGTTTGCCATCGCTGCCATGGCCTGCATTCCTGCCTGGGACCCCAGCATGGCCTGATTCTGCTGCTGCTGCTGCGCCTGCTGCTGCGCCTGCTGCTGCGCCTGCTGCTGCGCCTGCTGCGGCTGCTGCTGCGGCTGCGTGGCCTGGTACTTTGCTGTCCTCTGTTTAATGAAGGCAGCCATGAGGTGGGGGTTGGACTTGAGGATGTTAAGGACCTGCTGTTGCTGCTGCGGGGAGCTGGGAGATTTAAGGGTGCGCAGTAATTCTTGCAGGGCACTCGGAGCAATGTTTCCAGGTATCCCACGTGGCACACCTAGCTGCTGTGGTGTCATGCCCTGCTGCTGTGAGGGCCCCTGGGGAGTCATGACCCCAGGCATTTGGAGACCCTGTTGTTGGGGCATCATGGGTCTCTGCATGAGCTGGGCCTGCTGGGGCATGGGGGCTCCCTGAGCCTGCTGAGGTGCCATGGTGACCTGTTGAGGAGGGACCTGCGGCTGATGCACCTGCTGATTCTGCATCCCCGGACCCCACTGGCCCTGCTGCATAGCCTGCATCACCTGGGGGCCCCGAGGCCCCTGCATCATCTGCATCTGGCCCTGCATGGGCCCCATCATTCGTGGGTGGTTCATGGGTATCCCATTCATGGCATAATTCTGCTGCTGCTCCTGCCTTGCTTTGGCTGCCATCTCAATCTGTCGGGCCACCTTCAGGGCTGCAAGGAGTGGCTGCTGTTGCTGCTGCTGCTGTTGCTGCTGCTGCTGCTGCTGTTGTTGTTGTTGTTGTTGTTGTGGTGGTGGCTGAGGCTGCTGTTGGTGGGGCATGTTAGGCAGAGGTGACTGCTGCTGATGAAGAGGGGAGGACTGAGGCCCTGGTTTCCCCTGTGGCCCCGGTGTTGGGGGCTGGCTGCTGCGGCCATTGTTGGGGAAGCCTTGGACGATGTTGGCAGGGTTTTGTGGCTGCTGTTGCTGGGGCTGTGTGGGCATGGGCTGGGGCGTCTGGGGCGTGTTAGGCTGCTGCTGCACAGAGTTGGGGGTGTCGGGGGCAGCTGAGGTAGGTGGAGATGGCATTGGCATACCCCTTCCAGCCATGGTGGCCATTCGACGGCGCATCATTTGAGCCTGCTGGAGCCGGTGCTGCAGCTGCTGCTGACGGAGTTTGTGCTTGATGTTAAGACAGAAGGGAACAGGACACTTGTTCTCCTGACAGTGCTTGGCGTGATAACAACATAAAGCAATGAGCTGTTTGCACACAGGGCAGCCACCGTTGGTCTTGCGCTTGCAGCCTTTGGTGTGTTGAACCACCCTCTTCATCTTCTGGCATGACGGGAGCGAGCAGTTGGCGTTGCGGCACTGGCAGGCGTGGACCAGGGACTGGATGCAGCGCTGGATGCTGAGGCGTCGGCTCTCCTGGGGGCTCTTGGAGGCCTCTCCACCCGGACCGTTGCTGTCATCGTCCAGACCAAGACCCCACTTCACCATCTGGTGCTCGTGGCCCTTAATGTTGTAGCAGTTGATGCATAGGTCGTAGTCCTGATGGAAGGTAAGGAGAACACATCAATGTTATGTTAAGATTTACATTTAATTCAAAACTGATATAGATGATCAAAACTATCCGTTTTTTGCTGTTGTTCCCTACCTCACAGACGGTGCAGTGCCAGCGAGTCTCTACATGGTGCTTGCACTCATTGCAGGTGTATACAAAGCGGTCCTGGCCCTGGTTGTGTAGTTCTACCAACATACACATGGTGCTCCATTTGCACCTCCTCAGTGAGCTGAACTCCCAGTGCTTGTCCCTGGCTAAAGTCAGAAAGGCATCGCGGCCGTCCATCAGGTCACAGGTCAACAGAGGATCGGGGTCCATGATGGGAGGCAGGGTGTTAACGACCGGGCCGGCATGGAGGTGGATAACAAAAAACACCTGGTAGTAGAAATGTAAAGGTAAGTTGTTCGGACGGTTAAAATGTACTGTTACAAATAAGAACTCAATAAGTCTGCAAGAGTTAAAATTGTGGGTGTGATACACAACACGCACCGTTTATAGAATTTAAAGAAAATCAGGAAACCTTTAAAAAGATGTTAATAGAAAGTATCTGCACTAGTCTCTAAAGCCAATGGGTCCTGTTGTATGTACATACGAGCAGTGTACCAATAAGATGTACAGTTAGGAAAAAATAACATATTCTTTGCAATTATTTGGTCAACTGCTTGGCTTAAAAGGTGTCAATTTTACTATAATGGTATTTACCTAAATATTTAAAAGTACTTTAGTTTTTTTTTACCTCCTTATGTTTCTCCATCGAGGCGTAGAGTTTCTGAGACAGGTCATTGGCTACATTCGGCATCCCAGGCTTTTTCTTATTGGCTCGGCTGACGCTGCTCTTGTTTTTGTTGGTTTTCTTACTGTTCTTCTTTTTGGCATTCTTGGTGTCAGCTGGGGCTCCCTTGAAATAGATAGACATGAACGTTAAGAGCGATTGCAAAAAAGACAAGATGAGGTTATGCAATTAAGATGAGTGGTTATACAATGCCCGAATGACTGCTGAAAGCTTTCATATAATGACGACTTGAGGATGATAACATCTGGGGTGAAAAAGAGTACGAAGCACGGGGCTGTTGATTTTGGCATAAGAGCGTTCTTTTTTTAAAAACCCATTCAATCGTGCTATCCGTCTAACTTACCTCTGTGGTCTCAGTGCAGACCGTGTTCTCCTCCTTCTTCCTCTCTTCCTCCTCCTGCTCCAGCTCCTTGATGCTCTCCTCCAGTACATTAGGCCAAAAGTCACCCTCAAAGTACGGCAGCTCGTTGGCAGTGGTGATTCGGTCTTCAGTTGCCTGTTTGAATATGTCCTGAACACAGAAACAAAATCCGTCCATCACAACACAGCTCTAAAAGACAAGTTACCTGCAAGTAACACCAGGTCAAATATAAAACTTTCAAAAGCTTCTTTATGACAAATTGTGAAAAAGACATCAGTCCCAAGTGCCACAGTGACGCGTCCTAAAACCCGGAAGTAAACTCCTTCCGGTTCCTTCGACAAAAACCAATGCAATTTCTCCATAGGATTTTGGAAAATAGCTGGAAATAAGGTCTGTGGTTGACACAAATTGAAGAGACAGATCACGTTTTGTTCAGCCGGATAATATCCACATGTCTACCCTACTTTTATAATTTTCTAATCATAAATCTATCGATTAGATTTATGATTTTTGTCGAAGGAACCGGAAGTGGTAAAATGCTAACTTACTTCTGGGTTTTAGGACACGTCACTGTGGCACTCTATGGAGCATACTGTACACAATTCCTTCAATTATTCATTTGTAAATAATCAATACCAACCACAAGGGGGAGCCCCTCTATACTGCACACTTCTGCACACAGTGACATGCTGATAACTACTATTGGTCTTGTCAGCAGGGACTTAACTACTTTAATTGACTAATTCATCCCATTATGCTTTTTTAGTATAAAGGGTTGTCTTCATTTAAACCGATAAAAATGCCAATAACTATAAATATGTTATTTTAAATGATCGATCACTCAAGTGGATGATGATAAACACACCACACCAATGACAGTGGCATACTTTCATAGAGCTGACGGCCAATCAAATCCATCTGCAGCACATGCTTAGCAGCACTGTTAACTAAACATTATGGTCCATCAGTGGGGATGCCAACATTGTATTATTAGTTAATTATTTACTAATAATAGTTAATAATTATATAGTTCTTGTTCTTGGTGTGCAATGCTGTTATCTGTAAAAAAAATACGATCAAGCGGATTATTAAATGAGATCATCTGGTTAAATCTAATCCATAAACGAGTAGCTGTGAACCACCATGTCTCCATAAAAGAAACTGGGTACAATATAATTTTTTTAACAGTAAACCAATATACTAAATTATCTTCTCGTACTTCAGCCTCCTTTAGAGTAGACTCTTTACTTCATACATTTTTATTTATTTTATTTTATTGATACCAGGGCTCGACATTAAATGGCCCGCTGGCCCGGAAGCACTATTTAGACACCCCGGGTCAGCATAACGTACTTTCCACTTGCCCGCTTGGGCCACTAAAAATATTGCTTTTTAAAAAATGGTCCTGTGGTATTGGTATTTTGACTAGCAATTTAGTTAAATTGTTTAGTTTATCAACGCTACAACATAGCATTTTGTGAGGCTGTTGTCGTTGTTGGGTGAAAAGCCAACAGCTGTTTGCTGCGGAGCGCAGCGTGAGCAGGCTCCCGTGAGCGCGCTCCTTCACTACAGACTATCGCGCCACCTAACCATTCGCCAAAATGTTTTTAATACCAGCGGTAGCCGGGCAAAAAACAATCTTCAAATAAAAGAAAGTCACCGGAGGAGTTAAAGAAGAGTGACAGGGAGCATGAGAAGAAGAGGGAGAGAAAGTTTCAGCCAGCTTGATCGATGGAGTTGACTTCTAGTGGTGCAGTGACGCATCCTAAAACCCTTTTATAATCTATCGATTAGATTTATGATTCGAAAATTATAAAAGTAGGGTAGACATGTGGGGATTATCCGGCTGAACAAAACGTGCATTTATCAAACAGGTTTGTTTTCCACAGACCTTATTTCCAGCTATTTTCCAAAACCCTGTGGAGAAATCCCATTGCTTTTTGTCGAGGGAACCAGCAGCTTACTTCCTGGTTTTAGGACGCGTCACTGGCTGCACCTCTCAATATGATGCCAATATAAACAAGGTCTTCTGTCGGCTCTGTACATCAATGCCGACCTATGCTGACCAGCAAGTGAAGAGTAGACAATATAAAAGGTATTGGCGAAATGTCCCAGCAGTTTAGGATAATGAAGGTTCTAATCAAATCAATTACATAGCCATTACATTTCTAACTCCTAATGACAGGAAGGCAGAAAGTGCATTATACAAATAATAATACTCATAATAGCAGACATTTTTTAACAATGACCACAATATCATTATTTTAATAAACCAAATATGAACAATTGAGGAAAATGAGGAAGAACTGATGATTCAAATGTTGTAGTACAAGTAGTAATGTAGTTAGTGTAAAAATTAGGCTACTATTGCAACAAATGTGTTAATATTCTTCATTATTAGTAGATTTTTTTTTGGTGGACGAATGCTCCGGGCCAGTGGTTACAATGGTGGGGCCAGTGATAATACAATTCCACCGGCCTGGAGGGCCAGTGGCATTTTACCCTTAATGTCTACCCCTGGATACGGTAATATGGTATTGTATGTGACTGACGGCTAATCACAACAGACACCCAGACTTACTCCCTGTACAGTTGAAAATGGTGGCAACATTTTAAAGAGCCTGTGACAGCCCCCCAACAACTGTTGTGCAATGAAATATTGGGCTACTAGTAATCTCGAACCGTCAGTTTAAAAAAGAAGGTGCGATACCGTTCCGATAAATATCAATAATTTCGAACATCGCGGGGGAATTCCTTCGACTCATTTTGAAGTTTTGGGGGAAGCCGGAAGTGACGTCAATACGGGAACGCTTCACTGTGCGGCGAGAGAGCCAAACACGGACAAAGTGTGTTGTCATGCGTAGAAATGGTGAATTACTGAGTTTAGGCACATTAATAACGTTTTAATGAAGTTGACTACAGTATATTCATATTTGTCAGTGCTTTCATGTCAATTCGGCGAACATAAACATAAATGATCGTGGTGAAGATGATGATTACATTAGGATTAAAAATCGGTAGTGAGAGCTGCTGAATTTCCTCCCGTCGGATGTGATATAAAAACAAATTGATTATTTTGTAGTTGTAAACTCAAGTGGATGAAACTACATTTATTAGTGCTTTCATGTGAACATATGATACATTAAATGATTGTGAGGATGATGATTAAAAATCGTTTGAGCCGGTCTGCATTTCCTGATGAAAAAACAAACCGATGCTTTTTGTAGTTGTAGTACACCAACATGGATTAAACGTGTGTTTTTTTTACCACAATGTTGGGGAAATTAATGGATAAAATGCACGGATTATTATTATTATGATTATTATTCCCACTCCGATCGGGACACTAGGTCCACCGTTTCCCCGCAGCGAGGCTCCCCCCGTTGACAGTTTACGTGGGCTGGGCTGGGTGCAGTGGCGGACTGGCCATCGGGACAAATCCCAATGGGCCGGTACCGAAGTGGGCCGGTCGGATAAGTCACTAGCACATCCCCCACTCCCCCCGTTGACAATTTACTAGCGGTACCGAAGTGGGCCGGTCGAGAGTCCCGGGATGATTTTTAGTCCCAGTCCACCACTGGCTACATGACCGTATTATCGCCCATATTGACGCACCTAATTCCTAAACTTCTAACAGATACAACATAAACCGATCCTTCAGCCTCATATGAGCTCTCAGACACGTTCAACATTAAACTGTCTGAGCTGTCTGAGCTTGCTGCTGTGTGCGCCATCGTGCGTTTACATGCAGATGCTGGGATCCGGAACGGTGCAGCTGGAGCTTTTGGCCCGCAATGACGTCACACATAATTTGGCGGGATTTGAAGAATCTCCAAGAAGATCCAGAATATGGTCAACATTGAAGGGCAGATGAATGGTTATCAAAGTACAAATATCCCAAATCAGTTCAGTAACGGTTTTCAAGGGGACAATATTTACTAAAATTGATGGGTTTGGATGATGGATGAAACCCGTGTCACAGGCTCTTTAAACTATAATTATGAGAATCTTGAGACTGAATATTGCACTTTTGATCATTTTCTGACCTTGTAGTCGTGCAGGATCCTCTCAGCGAAAGCCTTGTCTAGCATCTTCCTGTACCACTCTTGGAGCCTCTTGGGTTTGGGGATCTTCTGGTCGAAGGGGTGGCAGTGAAAGATGTAGTCATCTCCTTCACTGGGGGGGCAGGCCCAGATGTGACCCATCACATACCTGAGGGCAACAAGAGTTGTTTAGCCAATTGCAGGAATGATACCTGAGATTTTGTGAAAACTATGTTCAACGCACCCCAGTTTCTTCACATACTCCAGGTAGCCTATTAATATCTCATGGTACACTGCAGTCCTTAGTGCACGTGGTCTGAAGAAGTGAATACTGTCGAGGTATGATATGTAAACTCGTCTGAAAATCAAATAGAGGATTAATCAAAGAGGAAATACACACAAAATGCCCCAAACAACTGAGAAAAACTGCATAAATCCACTTGTTTCTGTAGTTATACCTGGTATTTGGAAAGGGGCACTCCGAGCCGTACTCCTGGACGTGCATGCCGAAGAAACAAACGTCCACGCCGTCTATTTCCTCGAATGCAAAAAGTGCTTTGGTTCTGTAAGGGAAGGTCTCCACCATCTCGCCCGAGTCCACAAACCTGGGGAAATAGAGACGGCAAGTAAGTTACAGTTTTTAGAACTTAACTTGAACATTTTGTACGTTTTAAAGAAGACAGGAGAAAAGATAATCTCCATGGTCCGGTCTGTCATGTTTGTTTGTTTTATTGGATATAAATATGTATAATATAAGAGCGATAGACATGTGGTTTGTATTTGAAATTCATTAAAAGAACAAATGCTAGGCAACTGTCTCTCTCGAAGAAACATTCCCCAAATCAATGCTTTAAGGAAGATGGCTTTAACAGAAGGTGTGATGTGGCAAGCTCTACTCATTACTGATATATTTTACATGTATTTGTTTGTCACTAGGTGAGTTTAATCATCTTTATTCACTTTACGGGATTTGGAAGACTTTACATTTATCAATGAGCAATGTTTCTTAAAAAGGTTTTAAAAAACCCTCCACTTCTATCCTGGTTTGTTTCTCAAACACTAAAATAAAAACGACCATGTTTTCTACATTGAACCAATAGAGAGTCAGACTTTATCAGTAGTTGAGTAACTTACCTAGACTTCATGCCAGGCTTGATCTCCACATTTTTGTCAGAGCTGGCCACGACTCGCACAAACACCTCACCAGCCTCTGGGTGGTTCTGCCTTTTCAAGTACTTATTCACTCTGTCCTCAATGTACGTCCCCAACCGGGTCGTCTGCAATCCTTTACAGAGACCCGCGCAACGACAACAACAAAACGCCATTAATATCATGACAACTTGAAACAAAGAAGAACTATATGAATTTAATGTTACTGCTGTTTAACTGGACAATGTACAATGAAACTCACTTCTGGCAGAAAATTTGTTCTCCTTCCTTGTTTTGCCCGACTTCTTCAGACAGTTGTCACAGATAAAGCTAGAAGACGAAACATCAAACTGGAGTTTAGAGTCAACTTAAGGTAACGCAGGCAATTACACAATTCTAGTAAGAAGAAGTAAGGGTTTGGTACTCTGCAAGTTAAGAATTCTATTAAAGTTAAACGTAGGCTTTATATGCTTAAATGGTTGGATAGTCATACAGCCGTAGCGAGACTTACCCTGATGGCCAAATGACATCGTAGTGCAGCACACAGATCTGATGCATCTTTCGCCCACAGTCTTTACATTCAACAAACCTGATGAGGACAAAAATGTGATGTTTCTGTGCTTTCCTTGCGTAACGTAATAAAGAAATATCACTGCCATAACATTAATGAGAGTCAAACTGTAGTAACTGTGCAGACAGTACTCACGGTTCAGGGTCCAACATGTCATTTTTCTTCTTTTCAAACTGCTCTTTTGATATCATGCTGCACAAGAGATACAAAAAAAAAAAAACGTGTTAATTTTGCCCTTGTGATTAAAACCCCTCTTTAAAAGTAGAGAGAAACCAGCCGGATAATCTCGGCAGAGGATCATCGGGTGGAGTCTGGCCACCCGGCCTGGTAACTTACGTCTGTTGCTGTGAGGGGTCGTCCCCCAGGGTCACGCTGTTTCCCTGGATCTCGTTGAAGCACTTCTCGCAGAAGTGATACCTGTCGGAAATAAGGCCATATTTGGGTGAACTGCACCCAGCACACACAGTAACAGGCAAACCGGTACAGGCGTTACAGTTAACGGAGAACACGGAAACAACCGAGGACAGAGCATGGGCAGCGGGGACACACGGGGAGACACACACACACACACGCGCTAGTGACATGTGAAATGGTCATGAGCCAGCCACTTTCATTCAAACTGGAACAGAAACGCCAGAAACATTTAATGTCAAAAACAAATGAATTGAAACAGAGAGTGCTATACCATCTAAATGCATGCTGAAATATACATTTAAAGAAACTGTCCACTACATTCATGTATAACTAAAGCAACATGCATTATTAGCGGATAAAGGAAAGATATGGTCATGCTGTGGGAAACCGTGTGAGTGATACTCAAAAACAAATAAGCTAGATAACTTTTGTAGGGACGGTTTATATTATCACAGGTATTTCTTTCTTAAGAATTTAGATCAAAATGTGGTCAAATTATAAAACCTTGCCAAGTACACTTCTTTGAAAATATAAACATTAACAATAAACATATTTTTAAATGTTTTTAATCTTAAGTTGTTCAAAGTAACACCATTTGGTAGCGAGTACTTGCAACAACCGAATGGTGTTGCATTGGAGTGATGGAGGTGCAGCTGCAGTTTCTGCCCAGCAGGGGGAGCTTTGGTGCTGGTTCGTTGGCAAAACAGACATACGGACAATGTGGGGCCAGATAATGCCCATTCTGCTCGGCCACATGAATATACAACTCTAAGTGAGGTTTACGACACCCCTATAAAGGAAAGGTCATGTGAATAACATCATAAAAACGTTGTTGACTTGTACGGCTGTTTGTGTTGTCTTGGGCCATATTTAGTCTTTAAAGGATATAGCCGCCCTTTTTCTCTTTATAAACCACCCTTCACCTCTCTACCTCTCAGCAAAGTCGCTATGTCATTTACCTGTTCTGGTAGCTGTAGTAGGTGCCGTCCCTGGAAATGGTACACAACTGTTTGCCATAGCAACACAACGTCTGGGGTGAGAACTCATACTGTGGAAAAGTGAAGAGAGTTACATTAGCATCCATGGCATTCGCAAGTCAACATCCACATACAGGTGAAGACAACTGAGAAGTGAAATGGTGATCCAGGTGTGTCCTGAAACATTCAGGAACAAATGCCCAAAAATCTGGTCAAATATTAACTTTTGCAATTGATTGAAATAAGAAATAGAAAGGCTACATGAAGAATGACATCATTAAGGTATTCAGATTTATAATGTTTTCATTTGGAACAGATTCTGCAACACAGGGCTTTCACTATAATCAATGAAAGGTGTGAGAACAGTGTGTGGGTAGCGTGTGTACACCACAGAGATCCGCTCTACAATCAGGCCAGGCTTCTATTTTTATTTTTATTCAGTGTGTTTACACAGAAATGGGTCATTAAATGTAATTTTTTTAATTATTGTTATTTACTACCCAGTGTTTCCCCTAGGTTTACTGCTTTGGGGGGGTGCTGCTCTTTTTTTAAATCCTCTGGAGCAGAGAGAGGAGCTGTGGACTATTGTTATTGATTAATGCATCAGTGTTTCTTAGGGTCAAAAACACTAAACTCCCAACTTAAAATGAAAGCGTTTATTTAATAAAAGAGCACATGTTCAATGTGAAAAGTGACAGTAGATTATTTGCAATTTGGCTCCAAAAAAACAAAACAATTATAATTTTTTTTAAACACCTTGGATTTGAGGGGGGGCGCGGGGCTCCGTTGGCGGGGTGCAGCGCCCCTCCAAGACAATGGTAGGGGAAACATTGCTACCAATCTACAGATTATTACTTATTGGCAGTACGAGCTGGCAGTTTCTTTGTATCTGCATCCCTTAAATTGCTGTAGACTGTAATTAAATCATATTACACAAAAGGCTTAATTGCATTTCGGAGAAAACGTGGGAGTCACAAATGCCCTATACGCGAAGCAGGTGTAGCCAGTACAAATGTCAAACTTAAAGGTCCCCTATTATACAGTTTATAATCAATATATTATAGTTCTCAGATATATACAAACATGTCTCTGAAGTGTTTGGCTCCAAATACAAAACCGATCACCCCTGTTTCTAAAGTGCTGATTCTGTGTCTGTTACTTTAAATGAAAACAAGGAGCCCCTCCCCACGCCCCTCTGAGAGATATTTCGTTAAAAAGAACACAATGGTGCTCTAGGAGATTCAGGTGATAAGGTGGGGTGGGTGTTACCTTGGTTGGTTATTGGCTAATGGTTACACAAGCCAAAAAATCGTTATGACATCATAAAGTGGCCAAAATCTGATCAGTTCATTTTCAGACAGGTTTTTATATAAATGGATCAGGACAAAAAGAGAGAGAATCTTTTTTCCTGAAACTTTCAGAATCTCTTTACACAGATAAACATAAACACATGTCTATGTATACAAGACATGAAAAAGTGGATTTTGCATAATAGGTGACCTTCAAGTCGATTTCCCGTTTAAAAATATGGATTTTTACCATATAACCCTGTAGTACAGTATAAGTATATAATAATTGTTGTGTCTTACCTTCCTGCCGCAGCAGTAACCCAGGCCCTGCATGACGGGATCAATCTCTGCTTCAAACACCTCTGACAGTTTAGAGCAGTATTTGTAGACACGGGATGTTTTGCGGTTGTACAGCCAGGCATTGTTGAACATGAGCCACACATCGTCCACATACTGCCACGGC